TTGTTATTTTGGAATCTTAGGGCGTGTTTGTTTGGCCTCATTAAGTTTCACTGGACTGGCTATGATTACTAGTCAGTGGAATCTTGTGTTTGTTAGTAGCAAGGACTAGGTTTAATGAGACTAAGGGGAACTCGCCTACACTAAATGCCAAAATCCCTTGAAATTGAGCAAATTGCTAAGAACAGCTCCGCTTCACCCTTCCCCGCTTCGCCCATTTGCAAGTTCTGCACTTTAGCCCTTTCGTCTCCTATTTTTTTCTTCCCAGAAAACTTTTTTTTTTCCAGTGAGGCAGCCATGGATATGTGGTTAAAACATATTTCCCAACAAACTCATTTTCTGTTCAAAAACTAGTTCTCTGATAAACCCATTTCGTGGAGTTTTGTAAATGTACGACCTTTTGGGTTGGCATTTATCACTCCATGGCAAACCTATAGTAACAAAGGAATTACCCACATGGGATTTTGTAGAAATTGGAAATTTACCCTTTAAAGGCCACATCCAAATCTTGTATATAGAAATGCTTTCACCTGTACTTACACTGTTAATTTTCTTCCCTTCAGCATCTCCACTGCCAACATTGTAGACAGGAAAGATTTTGAGATTGGGGTCTTGAATTTGAAGTCATCTGGTACATTTCCAAAGCCTCATTCTTCCACTCCTCAGAAGTTATTCGAAGATTTCAATTTTAACTGGCAATTTCAATTTCAAATGAATTTTGTGATTGTTTATGCTTTGTGATTTGGGAGAAACCTGTGGAATTTTGGGAGAAGGACGGGAATTTGCATTTTGTGTTTGGTGAGTTAGACGAGAATTGAGGGAAAGGAAGAGAGGGACATGACGAAGAGTTCTAGAAAAAGGAGAAAGAAAAAAAAGAATTTTTTTATTATGTTTATAATCCTACTTAAACTCCGCCTGTGTAAATTTATCTTATATTGCCGGTCCCAATCTCAGATAAGGGAGGAGATAGAGGGCGTCAGGTAGTTAACAACCGACATTCCTATCTTACGTCAAATCCTTATGATAATGAATCATGAATGAAATTGCGCTAAAGTTAGGTCGTCACCCGCAAGTGGCATGCTGTGTGGCCCGAGCACAATGATAAGTGAGCAAGGGTCGCTGTATCTCCATCGGTGCTCGGATGCAGTGTTGAATGAGCAAGATGGCCATAGAAACTTCTTTTTGAATGACTTCACTCAAAGTTGTTTGGTAGCATCTGCTCCCATCAACTTTACACATGACACGCAAAAAAAGTACTTTGACCTTATTAGACGGGGGATGGTGAAGAAGTTAGGACAAGAGGGTAGAGTTCAAGAGAGTAGAATGTGTTTAGGAACGTGGAATATAAGAACCTTAACGGGAAAATATATGGAAGTAGTGGAAGTTATGGTGCAGAGAAGGATAAGTATTATGTGCCTCCAAGAAACTAAGTGGGTTGGTCATAAGGCAAAGGATCTTGAAAACTCAGGTTTTAAACTTTGGGATTTAGGCACAAATAGAATGAGAAATGGTGTTGGCATCATCGTGGACAAGACCTGACACAAGATGTTGTAGATGTCAATAGGGTAGGAGATAGAATTATGGGAATCAAGATTGTAATAGGACAAGAACTCATCAAAGTGATTCGTGCATGAGCATCTCAAGTAGGGTTGGATACAAGTTTGAAGAAGAAATTTTAGGAAGACCTTGGAGACTTGGTGCAAGGAATCGCTCAAACGGAGATGGTATTTATATGAGGAGATTTAAATGGACATGTGGGCAAGGAGACATGCAACGATGTAGGTTTTCATGGTGGCCATGGTTTTGGGGAGAGAAACGAGGATGGGGAAGCTATCTTAGATTTTGCAATGGCATACGATATCTTCTTAGCCAACACCTTCTTTAAGAAGAAAAAAGAACACGTGATCACCTATAAGAGTGGGTCTTAAAAAACACAAATATGTTTTCTTCTAATGAGGAAGGGGGATCATATAACTCATAAGGATTGCAAAGTTATACTAGGAGAGAACTTGTCTAATCAACATTGCTTGTTGGTGATGGATGAATAAATCAAAAGAGTGAGAAAAAAGAACAAGATCTTGAAGTGCCCAAAGACTAGATGGTGGAATCTAAAGGGAGAAAAACAAGCAATTTTCAAAGAGAAAGTAATCACCCAATACATTTGGGATAGAGAGGGAGAAGCTAGCTAAATGTGTGATTCTATGGCTAGTTGTATTCGAAAAGTAGCAAAAGGGGGAATTAAGAGAGTCCAAGGGCTTTGCTCCACACCAAAAGGAATCTTGGTGGTGGAAGGAGGAGGTACATATAAAGGTTAAGGCTAAGAAGGAATGTTGTAAAACCTTATACAAGGATAGGACCATGAAAACAATGAAAGGTATAGAATAGCGAAGAAGGAGGCGAAGAAAGCTATGAGAGAAGCTAAGCTAACGGCTTTTGACGATATGTTTAAGCGACTAGATACCAAAGAAGGAGAGTTGGATATCTGTAAACTAGCTAGAGCAAGGGAAAATAAGACAAGAGACCTAAACTAAGTGAGGTGCATCGAGGATGAGAATGGAAAGGTTCTTGCTACAGAGAACGCAATCAAAGACAGATGGAGATGTTATTTTCATAATCTTTTCAATGAAGGACATGAAATGAGTACTTCTTTGGGGGAGTTGAGTAACTCAGAAGAGTGTTCTACTCATTTTACCGCCGAATTAGGAAGGAAGAAGTGGTTGTAGCTTTGAAAAAGATGAAACATAGAAAGCAGTGGGCCTAGATGATATACCGATCAAAGTGTGAAAAGTCTTGTAAGAGTCGGGTATAGCTTGGCTCATAGATATTTTCAATAGATTTTGAAAATGAAGAAGATGCCAAATGAGTGGTGAAAGAGCACTTTGGTGCTTATCTACAAGAATAAGGGACGTACAAAATTGCATGAATTATAGGGGTATTAAGTTAATGAGTCATATAATAAAGCTTTGGGAGAGAGTAATTGAGCAATAGACTGGGGAAAGATACATGGGTCTCGAACAACCAATTCAAGTTCATGCCAGGGCGCTCAACCATTGAGGTAATCTATCTCTTACAAAGATCGATGGAAAGATACAGAGATATGAAAAAGGATTTGCACATGGTTTTTATAGATTTGGAAAAAGCGTATGATAGGGTCCCAAGAGACATTCTTTGAATGATTTTGGAGAAGAAAAGAGTATGAGTAGCATATATCCAAGCTATAAAGGATATGTATGATGGAGCAAGGATTGCCGTAAGAACTCATAAAGGACAAACTAAAAGCTTCCCCATAACTGTAGGGTTACATCAAGGCTCACCTTTAAGTCTTTAGCTTTTTGCATTGGTAATGGACGAGTTAACAAGACATATTCAAGATGATATTTCTTGGTGTATGCTTTTCGCATATCATATAGTGTTGATAGATGAAACTCATGAAGGAGTAAATGCGAAGCTTAACCTTTGGAGAGAAGTGTTGAATCTAAAGGTCTTCGCCTAAGTCGGTCAAAGACAAAGTATATGAAATGCAAGTTCAGTGCAAACAGAGGCTCAAATGAGTTAGGGGTGAGGATTGGAGATCAGGAAGCACCAAAGAGCGACTACTTTCGCTACCTAGGATCTGTCTTGCAAAAGAACGGAGAGTTGGATGGAGACCTTAACCATAGAATATAAGCTGGATAGATGAAGTGGAAGAGTTCATCCGGCATGTTGTGTGATTGTCGTATGCCACTTAAGCTCAAGGGAAAATGTTATACGACGACAATAAGGCCAACAATGCTTTATGGCATGAATGTTGGGTGGTGAAGCATCAACATGTACATAAAATGGGTGTAACGGAGATGAGAATGCTTTGTCGGATGTGTGTTTACACGAGAAAGGATAAGATTAGGAATGATGATATCTGAGGTAAAGTAAGAGTAGCAAAATTGAAGGAAAGATGAAGAAAATTGGTTACGGTAGTTTGGTCATGTGAAACAAAGAGCTAATAACGCTCCAGTTAGAAGATGCGATTACGGGACAGAGGTTCAAGGCCAAAGAGGTAGAGGAAGACCTAGGAAGACTTTGGAAGAGACTCCAAGAAAAGACTTAGAGTACTTGGATCTAACAGAAGACGTGACACATGACCGAGCACAACGGCGTTCTAGGATTCATATAGCCGACCCCACTTAGTGGGAAAAGGCTTTGTGTTGTTGTATTTTTATAATCTTCTTAGTCTATTCTAAGCCAATCTAGCTTAGTTAATTCTAAGCCAGTCCAGCTTAATCTATTCTAAGCTAGTCCAGCTTAGTCCCCAAAACGAGTCCAATTTGAAATAGTCCGGTGCAACAAACACACCTTTAGTAGCTAAATTGTTATTTGTACTATAAATAGTAAGTCTTGTAAATAAGAGGAGTCATTGTAAAGTTGTATTTCTTAATAGAAAAATTACAGTTACTGGTACATTGAGTAAATAAGCAGAGAGAAGGGGTGTGCTATCCACACACAACTATTTACTTTTCACACATATCTTGTTAATTTATGTCTTTTGATCATCATCAATTCATTCGTTCTGATGGCCGAAAATTAAGAGAGTGTGTTGGAAGTAAAAATGAATGTGGGGATATCACACCCCCAGAGAGAACCCTAACATTGGTATCAAGCCAGTCCTTTGATTCTTCTCGATCCTTTCTCTTGTAAGTAAACATGCTTGTAATGAATGTTCTGCTTTGAGTCTAAGGTAGAAAATGAAGACATTGTGTGCATGCTATTACGACACGAGAAATAGGACAATGCAAACTCACAATTGGTGCAGCAGATTCATACTATTTTCTCTTATTTGACAAATTCAACAAACCACATAGGGATTACAAGGCTACTAGGAAAGCATGAAAGAACAGTAAAGGAAAATATTTATCTTAATTGATAACCAATTAGAGAAGATACGCGAAGAGACATGCCATTAACTTGTGGAAATAATCTGACAGATTGTTCGGGACTGTGGCCATCTCTTAGGGACTTGCTGCTTTGATTCACTCCCGAGGGATTGCTGCGGAATTAAGTCTCCTCCTGTGAGGTAATTCTGCATTCAAGTAACTTAACAATGACGATGGGCCATAGAGCTTAATATCTCGGCCTTCATCACGTTGCAATGGTCTTGCATTCGCCACTGCATACTGCACATTCAAGAATCGTGCTATATCGTTAAGTATCTTGTTAAATTTGAAGAAAAACATATCATATTTGATTCCCGAAAAATTGTGCCTTTATATGACTGATATAACAATACCAAACACAAAAAACCATATTTGTTCCAAATGAAGGCAGCTAACAGTACTGTAGTAATGTTTTATTCTATTTGTAGAAATTTTCAGGTCGACGGGCCGAGGGCCCACTCCAACAACACCGATACTGTCCCCACTTAACCACCTGCACAATCCTCAGGTGTGGGGTTTTATCACAAAAGGCCTCGATGTTAGTTAGAGAGGGGTATTTCTATTTAAAGCACTCTTCTCTTCTCCCTTTGTCCGATGTGGGACTGGGGGTTCCAACACTATTAATAGTTTTGCCAAGAATTCATATTTAATAGACTTTAATTGTTGAAATTAAAACAAGAAAGACAGAAGGAATCATTAAACAAAGATATGAAGACTTACATCATAAACGGCTTCTTTAAGTAAGTCCAGTTGTTCTCTTGAAACAATATCTACCTGAGGGCATGAAGTTTATGATTAGCGAAAGGTTCTCATTAATTATTGGCTATATATCAAGCTAATGATGAATGCTTTAGGGTTTTGGGTTGATGAAGTGGATGTACCTTTTCGTTTACGGTCCAAATAACTCCTTCTGTACAGGGAGGAGTTGTGAGTGATCCCATGTATCTGTAAAATCTTGAGCTGGCCCATTTTATTTCCCCTGGATCAATCACTCCCAACTTTTTCTCCTTTGTACTAATCACAGAAGATATATCCTGGTTTATCTGAAAAGGATACAGTACGTGTCAGAAGACCATGAAATGAATATCTTATAATTCATTTACATGTGTTTTGTGGATTTTAATTACCCTTGATAAAAAAGGATTGGGCTGCCGACTTCGTATAGAAATGAAACTACAGCTATATTGTTCTGGTCTGCGCTTTGATGCACCATGTGCAGTTCCAAATCATACCTAATGAAGAGAACTCTTAAGTTTAGACATGGAAGAAATATTTTGGATTTTTAAGATAGGAGCCGAGGGAGAGAGGAGAGAGAAAGAAAGAGACCTTACACCATTAATGGTGTGTTCAGATGGGGTGTGCCAATGACATCTTTTGAGGAAGTAATCTGAGCCGTCGATTTGGATAGATCCAGCATCGCCTTCCCATTCAAGCTGAACCAGTTTAATACAATACAGAATCAAGAAATTGATAAGAGGAAGAATTTTTCTTAGAAAAAAAGAGTTCTACAAAACCAAAGTCATTTTGTAAAAATGGAAAGCAGCACCCTGAATATTTTTTACTACTAATAAGCAACTTTGGTTTTCATTAGAAGAACGTGTTTCTACAATTCACTCCAACATAATAGGAAAATAAAGGAAGGTATTGTAAGAAAATAAGAAGATGTATGTGTCAATAGCACTATCCTAAATATATACATGGAAAATAATGTATGAAAATTGAAGTAAGGTACACTATGATCAATTGTCTCTGTCAATCACCTCCAAATTTCAGATTTCATGGACAATAATTGTTTGACAGTTAAATACATACATAAATAGCACCTCCATACAACAGAGGTGGTACAAATTCATAAGACCATGCAAACTCCACAATTTCAGTTAAAGCATAACAAAACTCTAATGTGATACTCTCACCGCGATATAGTAACCTTCATTCTTGAGAATTGCATCGGAAGGCTTATAGCTCACTATAAGATCCCTTGAACTTTGGATCACTTTGGTGGCACGACTCTCGTCTAAACTTATTGGTGATTGAGATCGTCCATCTTTACATGCCGCCCATTCTCGTTTAAGCTCTCCCCAGTGTTCTGGGCCCTTCTCACTCCCTTCCCTATAATCAAACGCTATTTCTTGGTCTGCACCAAAAACCTAAATTCAAGATGAATGTAATAATAATGATCATGATAAGACGAGTGAAATGATTTCTGCAGAGTTTCTTTTTCTGCACACATTTTTCCTTTGATTTATTCAGTTCATAGATTAGAAATAAATACGGGTGTGCAACGGGAGAAAAGAAGCTTGCAGAAATCAATTCACAATGCAAGTCTATGTACTTGGCATTACCGAGTGGTTTAGCTGTAACTGGTATTTGGTTCCAATACAAAAGAAAAATTGTCAAAGCAAAGAACTGAATATGGGTTTGCTTTGATTGAAGCATCATTCACAGCCAACAATCACTAAGATCGATCATGCAAATGTCAAGAAAAAGAAGCCTCAGTTGTATTCCGATTTAGACAACAATGCACTATGAGGCTATGACGAATACTGAAATTTATAGAGCACGGGGTAGGGTTAACCACTGTAGAACAAGTTTCAGGATCCAGATGGGGAAAGAAATCATTCCGTTTACTAATACCTATATCGGTTTTGTAATTCACATCACCTATATTAAATGCAAAATTCAAATTAATAATACGCCTTCACCTATTCTTCATTTTTCTGGTTCATTACTATAAATAGACAACATTGGACGACAATTTAATTTGGATCCTCTACAGATTTTCTGCCTACATGCACTTTCGATCTTGACCATTCAAATAGATTCAATGTTTAGCGATACTATAAATTTATTTTACCCTCTTTGGTCACCTGCCATCGCCAAGTACCATTTGGATCATCCAATTATTGGGGAAAGATTCAATGGCCGAGTACCATTGGGTTCTTTATTATTTTCCTTCTAATAATTGATTATTATGGTAAAAAATAACCAGAGATTTGCAATTGAAAAGGACAAATGCCATTCGAATCGTGGCTCTTTGTACTTTTTTATTTGTAGAGAAAATATGAATCCTATTGTGGTCTATTTTATCTGACAAGGAGAGAGAGGGCCGGCGGCAAGATAACAGAGAGAGATGTGTTTGTAGGGTTGTCTAGTAATAAGGAAGGGAAGAATCCTTCTGCCTCCAAGGAATACAAAGTCCTAATAGGAAAGAATAACTAGTAACAAATCTAATCTAGGACTTATACAATCACACTTAAATAAGAAATTTATTGCAAATCTTACAATAAGGAACCCTATCCGGGAATACAATATCAAATACAAAATCAATTACATAATATATTCCAATCTAAATACTGGTTTTCTAACATACACAAAACTTGAAAGATTATCACGTGTTTACTTTTTAAGGTTACCATGGTAGTCTTCTATTTATTTCCCAAGTTTGTGACAAAAGTAGAAAAAAATGAGACATGACTACTTTTTGTAATTTAACGAATGAGGATTCTCTCTGGATTCTTTTTGTGAGGATTCATAAGATCCTTTAATCACGTCCGTTCATCGTACAAAAAAGACAAAAGCAGCCAAATCAAATCAAGCGATTTGTTTCAGTCATCGGATATTTGTTTTGTAATCATCACATATTTGTTTCTTACCAATAGTACTAAAAAAAAAAAAAAAAAAAAAAAAACCAGTGCTTTCAGCCAAAAAATATTAGTCGAGCAGAATAACAACACTTCGTCAGGTATACTTTGTCATCAAAGCTCGTTGCATGCACTTTAGCCCGACGAAAATAGCAAAACCAAAAGTAATTTGCCTGACTAATCTTCTGACGTTAATTTCGTCGAGCAAAATTGTGTTGACTAGCTATGCTCGACGAATATAGCATGCCCGACCAAACTTTTTCATCTGGCAAAGTTTTCTTTTTTTTTTCAAAAAAAATAATAAAATACAAAATCAATGAAATTGTCATCGAGTAAGATTAATAAAAAAAAAAAAAAAAATTAAAAGCTTGCTTGATAACATCTTTCATCAGGAAAACATTTTTAAATATTTTTAAAATAATAATATGTTGTAGGCATAATTTACTGAACAATTATGGAGGCCAGAGAGATAGGGGTGCGGCATATAAAGAAAAGAGAGATATGTAATTGTGAAGTGTGTGTTATCTCAAGTCATTGTGCTTTTATTTATAGTAGTAGAGAAAGTTAATTCCTTACCCTTTGGGATTACAAGTCTAAAAGGATAATATCTAATCTAAGAGATATGGTAAAATCCCATAAGGATATCCTAGATATGTTAGGATTTACAATCACATTCCTAATCTAATAGGATTACAACACTCCCTCTTGATTGTGTAAATACTCAAACAAATGGCGCATCAGGTCTTCAGCAATGAAGTAAGTACAATTAATGAAGTTGTCAGCACAATGAGTGAACGCGAGTCTTAGATCAATGGAAGAATGCATAAAAAGGTAAAGCTCACAAAACCTTGCTATGGTAAAACCCAAGGTGGGATAAAAACCCATAGATTAAGGAGAAACGTGAGAAGTTGCATTAAGTCAAAACTATACGTCTTTTAGACACAAGTAAAAGAGCTCACAAGGGTATGATCAGCCCAGATGGGTGCCTCATCAAAACCTAGTTAGGTAGTAAAAGCCCAGCCCAGTGAGAATAATGCTCCTAATCATTGGAATAAAGAGTACATTAAGATTAAGTGAGTATACTTTTGGATACTCCCCCTGGGTTTGATAGAACTTCCAAATAAGAACTACAAGCATTGCATATGAATAGTTAGGCATACTAATTCCTCGGACAAGCTTCTGGAAAGTTGACTTCAGTAATGACGTCGTGTAGAGGTGGGTACAGTTGTCTAGGATCCGCTTGCATGACTTCAATCTCCTAATGCTTTGCTGATATGATGTAGACACAATATGTCTTAGTGTTGGCTTCGTTGATGTATCATGTATTGGTCGAGTTAATACATGCAGCATAGTCTTCATGGATCGTCGTTAGGACTCAACGATGGATTAATACAACAAATACTTCAAATATGCTCAGCAAGAACTCCTAACCATATCTCACTTATGGCGTAGTTAAGTGAGGTGAGTCTTGGAATGATTCAAAGATTTTGCAACTAAGGTAATATCGTGGACCTCCAAGATATTGTGATATCCCTTACGGTAAAGACATAATCGTTCGGGGATTTTGCCTTATGTGGGTATGATAAGTACCAACATCAGCATAACAAACAAGGTAAGCATCATTTGGAGGATCAGGGGGGTAGGATCCGCTCAAGATGCATTGGGATTTGCCCAAATTCGTAGTGTCTTCAGGGTACGTCTTTAATACCAATTTAGTGGTTACGTGTAGCGGCGATGCTGTATCTTTACCAATAGATCAACATCAAAGAAGATGTCCTATCTAATACAATAAGCTAAGTACAACGAAGCACAAAGTTGAACTTAAATATGTAATTTTGGATTCCATAACCTCTTCAAGGGTCTCATTTGCATATAACGTATGGACGATCACAGGTATTCAAAAGTAACACCTTCAGAGTGTAGTTCAACTAGTAGACCAAAATACCGTCAGAACAATGATTCAACTTCAAGTCAAGGCATAAATGAGTTTTCCCAAGATATCTTAAATTCCATCTTCAGGTGCGAGGCAGTTTTCTCAAGCTTTTCTAGAGTCTTAGTAAGATTCGTGTCAACAACATAAACTGTAGCTCTAGCAATTCGGAATAAAACTTCATAGTTTAACACGCAAAGGCATTCATTCATATTCCTAACTAATCAAATAATCACTTAGATGGGTATACCACATCTGTTAGATTATTTCAATCCGTAAGTGAACGCGTCAAATAAGTTAAAAGGGTGTTCCGTGGTTTAGAACTATTTGAACCAGTCCATGTAATTCTTCGAGAACTTACATGTAAATCTCTGTATCAATATCCCCATGGAGAAAACACTAACCACATTTCATAATGATGCTATCAATCACAAGACGTTTAAGAGAAACCTTGTGCTATAAGGCGTGCATCATATCGCACTATTTCATTCACCTTATAATGCTTCATTTCCCACTTGTAACATAATAGGGTTACCTTGGGCAGTGTAGGAACAATAGGTCCAAAACACACTTTGGTAAGGAATTTGACCTGGATTGTAATTTTGGTTGTCCAATTAGTCCTACGTTTTCACTTAAACAACGGAACATGGTTCGATATCGTCGCTTTTCGTTTATGTTGGTAGCTACCATATAAGTGAAATCATCATCAATGGTAATCTCATTTCAATTCCATTATCTCATCCAAACTAGTATACTGGACCAAGAACTTCAAGTCTCAAGAGTAATCCAGATTAATCTTATAAGATGGAAATGATTTGAGACAACAATCGAGTATAGATTCATTGTTATGCCATGGCCTTCCTCTTCTAGGAAAGTGAATCTTATAAATCTAGTGATCTGTCGTGCTCCAATCCAAGACAGATTGATTGGCTATCCGTCGGTGTACCGGACCGTCCAACAGGGGCAACACACCGTTTAGGGATGTTGACTCGACATCCGTTAAGTACGTCTATCCTTGCAGCCATGTTTGCAATTGGCATATGTTCTCGTCACTTTAGCTGGATCAGAGGAATGTGTCTGGAGCAACATTCTAAAAGCTAGAATTCATTGCACTTGCTTATCACACTTGTGTGGTATAGGGATCGAAATGACACATAATGGCAACATCCATGAAAATTCGCACCATTCTACAGGAACGTTGACATTTTTATCTCCTCCTAACGGCTGGAAGACTGTCTCATTGAAGTGATAACCCGCAAAGAAGCGGTAAAGAGATCGTGTGTAAGGGCTATAAGAGAGCTAGTGTGAAGGAGAATCATAATCGATAAAGATTCATATCTTTCATTGAGGACCCATATTGGTATGTTGTGGCAGTGCAACTTAGCACATAGAATACATACCCAAATCGCGTAAATACGAAAAATGTCAGGTTTGTACCCAGTAACCAACTATAACGTCAAATAGGTTGGGTGGCAATAGGCCTAGCTGCGTACAAGATTGCATAAGCCGTAGGTAGATACCAAAAACGTGGTATGTTCACCAAGGTCCAGGAGATCATTTAAATTGCGCTTTATGATCACTATGCAAGGCTATTTGGGGTGAACATGGGAATTCGATGTTTAATTATAAACCTAAAAGACATGCAATCCTTTATAAAAAATCGTCGATATAAACTTCTGGGCGTTATCTAGTCTCCCAGACTTTAAGGGATAAGTAGGGTGGTGAACCCTTAATATCGACCAGGAGGTCTAGTAGTAATGTGTGTGGAAAAACATGTGACCAGTTTGTCGATTCATCAACCAAAGCCATAAATATTTATATGGTCCGCATTTTGGTTGGATTAGTCCACATATATTCCCTTGAATCCA